AAATTTTACTAATTTATATTGGTACAGAAAGCAAATGACTATTATCAGTTTCCCTAGTGTCCTCTCAGCAATGGATATTTTTAATTAAAAGTGAAAGATGCAAAAAACTATGTACTAGCATAAAATAGTACTTTTTTTATTTTAAATTCTTGGGCATGGAGACCATTAAACCACATAAAAATAAGTAAGTTTTTACTAAATTTATCTCATCTTTATTTCTTTTTTGTTGACAATTTTTATCTTTATCTATTAGGATACTAATATTTGTCTCCATCATCATTAACTGAAGGAGGCTAGAAAGCTATGTTTATAATTAGAGATTACCCTTTTTTATTCAACAAATATGTTACAATTTTTATGTAACCCAGATTTTTTTTTAACTTGTGAATATTTTATGGCTTCAAAGTTTCCTAAATCATCATCTTTCCAATGCTACAAGAGGCAGTATTACATAATGGCTAGGAATGTAAGATTTAGGACCAGATTTCCTGGGCTCTTCTTCTGCCACATACCAAACGTGAGACCCTAGGTAACTGCCTACATTTCCTCACTGGTAACAAAAGCTAGTAACAATACTTGTAAAGGATTTAGTCAAATGATATGTGGAAATAATATGGCACCCTTCCCAGTGCTTAGACCAGAAACATTGAAATTATTGTTGATTTTTCTCTTTTAGATGCCATAGCAAATAGAATTCTGTTAGTTTTCCTTTAAAAAAAAAAAAAAACACATCCTCAGTTTGACCATTTCTTAGTCTTAATACCACCCTGACCCAAAGCACATCCTCTCTACCTGATTATTGCAATAAATCTTACCTGGCTTCTTTGCCTCTGGCCTTGGCCCCTTCAGCCTATTTTCATGTCAGCTGACAGAGTGATTTTGTTAAAATCTGCTCAAATTTACTCTGCTCAGATTCATTCAATGGCACTCTGTAACTCAGAATGAAAACCAAAATCATTCTGATGGTCGCAAGCCCTCCCTCATATGTTCTTACTTCCTCCATTACCACTTTAACTTGATACCTTGTCACCTTTACTTTTGTTCATTCCTTACCTGTCACACTAATCTGTTTGTCTGTGAACAGATAAGAAAGGCATGCTCCCACCTCAGGGCCTTTGCACTTGCTGTAACCTTTGCCTGTGATGCTCTCCTACAGAGTTTCACTTACCATTTTGGCATCTTTGCTCCAGGTTACCTCAGGAAGGCCATCCTTAGCCACCTCATTTAAAATTGCAAATTGCTGCCCTCCCTGTTATCTCCTTGCCCTCTTTTTTTTTTTTTTTTAATTGACCATATCATCATTTAATAGATAGGGGTTATATTTGTTCTTTTCTTAACTTTATTACTTTCAACTTCATGAGGGTAAGGATTTTTGTTCATTGTGATTCCTACTCCCTTCAAAGTAGAATAGTCTCTGGTACACTGTGGATCTAGCTCAATATATTTATTTAATGAATGAAGAATACCTAATACATCTAGCAATTAAATAATTAATTAGCAATCCATGTGAAAAAGAAAACAAATCATTAGTTACAGGAATATTGTGTATAAAGTTAGTGTGAGAAAAAACTCCAGTATTTAACAAAAGAATATGAACTAAGTTAAGACATTTTTATATTCAAGAATAGTGTATGTTAAGTCAGTAAGAGTAGAGGTTTCTTGTTTCTAACATAGGAACACCATAGGGACATTGTAAAAGACAAGATAGGAAAGGGAAATTTACATTACAATGACAGGAGTTTGCAATCTTGCTAATAGTAAAAGGAAAAAAGATAACTATTATTATATATGGAAGAATCCTTCCCTATACTTTCAAGAAAAACAAGAAGAAAGGGAAACATACTTACATTCCTAACAATAAAAGGATATTTTAAAAATTATGTCACTATGATCCAGATTTTTTGAAATAACAAGTCCATCTTTTTTCTTTTCCTTTTTAAGTTAACTCCTATGATACACTAATGACCAAGTTGTTAGAGACTCTGTAGTAAATTGAACACATATGAAAAAGAGATTGAACATAGTCCTGGGATAATTTTCTCTAAATTCAGAAAAGTAAAAAGAATCACAAAAAGAAAGGAAGGAAGGAAAGAAAGAAGAGAAAGAGAAAGAAAAGGAGGGGAAAACCAAATGTGATGGAATTCAGGAGAGAAAATGGTCCATTCTATTTGGAGCTTTGGGGCAGGAAGGAGGAGAGGATCTGAGAAGCTTTCATGAAGTTGGTAGCATTTGGCAAGACTTTCAAAACTGAGCTTTCTTCCAACAAGATGATGATGTAAGGATGTTCCTGTTCCAGGAATATTTGTGTTATAGGAATTAAAGAGAAAGAAGAGAAAACTAAATTGAATTAAAATTAAGCAAAACAAAATATAAAAATTTCTGCCCAGAAAATGTAATTGTGAATGGAATAAGGTTTAAATGAGTGGAAAACTTCTATACATTGTATTTCTTGTATTCCGTGGTAAATGAGATGTATTAACATAGATTGCATTATCTCTTGTAAACACTAAGTTAGTAATCACACAGTTGTTAGAGCATAGAGGAAGACCCTTTGAGACCGTCTTCAAAAACCTCTTTACAGATGAGAAGAGAGACTGCCAGGGAGAGAACTGATGTAGGATAGGGCAAATTTAGGCTGAGGAACCGCCGTACTGTGACCTGCAGGGTGATTTGTGCTCCCAGCTTTCGCTACCCATTTACCTACTGCCATTTAATCACAAAGGTCTCTTCCTGTGTCTCCAATATCAAAAGAAAGAAAAGGATGGGGAGAGAGAGAGAAGGAGGGAAAGATAAGGAGACAAGGAGAAAGGTAAGGAAAGAGACAGAAGATGAAAGGAAAAAACCTATTGGCCTCAAAAAAGAGCGAAACTTTTGTGCCTTACAAACCAGCAAGCTCAACATGATGGGGTTTAGGTAACTGATCCAAAAAATTAACTCCAAAATTTCCTTTTTTTTTTTTTTTCACTCATCTGACACCCATTCAGAACAAGTCCAGGTTTTACACGTTTTTTCCTTCCGTCTATACCATTCTTCCTCCAGTTACCTGTGTGACTTCCTGCTTCATTTTCCTGCATCTTTGCTCAAATGTTACTACGATTCTCTGTACTAAAAGAGCACCCTCATTCACACCTGTGACACCTCTGTCCTTCTTTTCTGCCCTCTACTTTCTAGTGCACTCACCACAAAACATACTTACTATTTCCTTAATTTGTGTTGTTTATTGTTTTTCTCCTTGGACTTGAACGTTCTCTGAAGGCAGGATTCTGTTCGCTGCTACATTTCCAACTCTTAAAACTATGTCTGGCATATCATGGGTGTTTAATAAATAATTGTTAAAGGAATAAAATGCAATCTTCTTAAATCTAGGGAAAACATAATAGTATATTTACAAATGTCAGCTTTGGAATCAGATCTGGATATGTTTGAGTTCTAGATGCACTGTTTACTAAATTAGTGACTTTGGCATGATACTTACTCTCCATCTGCTTTAATTTATTTACTGTTTAATGTAGGTAAAAACCATACCCACATTTGTACAGATGTTATGGGGAGTAAAGGAAATAATACCTGTAAAGTTTCTGGCTCTTAGAATATACTCAACAACTGTTAACCATCAATCAGTGTTAGCTATTTTTAGTAGTTCTGGTTTTAATCCTAAGTGCTTAGAGCATTTAAACATAATTGGCAATTAATAACATACTACGACATAATATTACCTGTCCAGTCTTAATTCATACCACTACTCAGATTCTGATAGTCTAGCTGTACATGGCATAATATATGCTATAGCAGATTTTAAGACTCCTAATAAAAGACATTAGTGCATATATTATAAAAAATTTTCTATTCTAATACTACATCAAATGATTGAAATCTTTAAAGCGTTATACATAGTTGTCTATGTCAGAATTTATGTTTGATAGGTGTTAACAGATGGGATAAAATAGCTCTCCAAAACATTTTCATTTATTTGAAAAGGCTAAATATATTCGATTTTGTCTGTGTTTGAACTCGAAGAGGTACTTCTATCACACGGAATACAAATTGCTTGAAGCACGTCAGCAGTCTTTGGTTGGACTGACAGACCCATAGAGGTTTCTTGTTTTATACTGTTGCATTGATTATAGCTTGTTTATTGTTCATATATATTCTTACAAGGGCCTACCCTTTTTATAATTCTAGTGGTGATTAGTTTTCAGTATTTTCTTCTTATTTGCAGCTGTAGTTTCATTTCGATTTTATATTTTTAAAAAGTTTTTCTTGTAACGTTTTTGAAAATTGCTTCTATGATTTCTCAGACTTCTGTCCCACTTGAGTTAAATTCACATTTAGAAAACTTTCCAACTTTTAAGAAAACAAATTCTCAAAATTAATACAGTTTTTAATTAAGCAAATAAATGCTTGGGAATCTGTTGAGTTTTTAGAAATACCTTTATCTGGGGCACTTGGGTGGTTCAGTAGGTTGGGCGTGTCTGCCTTTGGCTCAAGTCATGATCTCAGGGTCCTGGGATGGAGCCCCAGGTAGGGCTCCGCGCTAGGCAGGGAGCCTGCTTCTCCTTTTCCCTCTGCAGATCCCCCTCTTTGTACTCTCTCACTCACTCACTCCTCCTCTCGCTCTGAAATAAGCAAATACAATCTTTAAAAAAATATCTTTATCTTCATGTTCAAAAGAGTTGATGAGTTTGCATGGTTCTAATTTTATTTTCAAAAAGTTTAAGTCCACTAAACAGCAGAGATGCATTTAATTTTTATGAAAGTTACTATAGTTTCATTATTAATCCACTACAGGGAAGCTTTCATGTTATTCTACAGCCCTTTTTTTCTTTTCTTTTTTTTTTTTTTTTTTTTTTTTTGCTTACTTTTTGGGTAGATGGGTCATAAGAAAGTTATACTTGGCTAAACCTTGGAAAAGCTTGAATAAAAGAGAGATTAGTACATTTAAAGAGAGAGAAAAGGAAGAAGGATAAAAGTGGATATAATTTTCTCTTTCTCTTTTCTAGCTCTAGGGAAAGATAAGGATTACATGGATGAATCAGAACATGCTAATTATGACCGATCTCGGCTAATCAAAGACTCTGTTCCCAAAGATAATTCTGAATCCAAGGCAAAATTGTCTAAGGTAATACAAACTAAACTATCAATAAGTCACTTGAAAGTAACATTTCTAAAACCTTTCAATTCTTTTCAATATTAATGTATATTGTGCTGGAGAGAAGAGGGCACACAGGTTAATATGTATTTTTAAGGACTTAAAGATGGAAAGTTGTATGTAGACATCATATTGCTTTATGTTATCAACATTTTTTTAAATTCTGAAACATAAAATTAACCTTTAGAGGGTTATTAACTTATTTTTTCATACTTTTTGAAAGACAGCATGATTTCACGAGAGCATGGAATGGACCCAGATTTGAATTCTAGTTCCATGCCTTACTATTTGTGATCATTTGAGCAGGTTAATTAAAGTTGCTGAGCATTGTTTTTCTCATCTGTAAAGTTGTATTATGTTGTCTGCTTGACAGAATTCTTTGATGAGTGCCTGAGATAACCGTGTGAAAGTATTTAGAGCATAGGAAAGACTGACTATATAGCAGGTTTTTATAACAACCTGGAAGCTGAGAACACCTCATTAAAACTCTAGTCCATCAGCAGATGGGTAACTGGGCTAGAGTTCAGTTTTTAAAAACCCTGGCTGCAGCAATGCCTTCATCCCGCAAACAAAATGATTTTGTGGACTCTTCAAAGCATCTGAGTTTGGTCATTCAATACCAAATACTGTCCCTTTTTGGTATGTTCCAAGGAAATATCTGGCTCAGTCTAAGCCCACTTTTTCTTCTTCCCCATTATTTTCTATTGATTAAAGTGGGAATGCCTTTGTAAAAGAAATTTGCGGTTTAACGCAGGAAATGACTTAGCTTTCACTGTCACTGCATGGCAAATAGTCTCATCTTTGAAAAAGTATTTCTCTAATACTTGATTGGTTTGGCCTGAATTAATTTTGCAAATCCCTTCATTAGTCACCACTAAAACATCAGAGAAAAAACATGACAAAATTTAAATATTACCCTCATAAATTAGACCAACATTAATAAATAGATGTAGAAATAAATGCTGGTGTCAAATTTCTTCATTCCTCTTTTGTTTTGTGTTAAGTGGGGTCAGTATTTTGTGCCAATAATTCTTAGGTTATCTTTACAAATCAGGGGTTCATCTACCCACTGTTTACTTCATCTGCTTTCCTGTGTCTGTCAGATCAACATGGTGTTTAGAATGTTTCTGCTATCTGTAAACCATTATTCCAAGTTCACCTGAGAGAAGGAGGAGTTATCGGAAATACTGAGAAAAAACCCAGATGTTGTTCCTCAAGATTCCCGTAGCACCAATAAGAAGACAAACATAGTATGATTTAAATAATTAGAAAAGGAACTAAGATTAAATAAACTCTGTCTTATCTGCTTCCCTAGAATTTACCACATGCACCAAAGATACCTGCCATGTCATTTCTATTCAAGAGTAGCCATTTCTCAGTCTCACTTTGACTAGACTTGAACTGTAGAATATGAAAGTTAAGAAGAAATAGTTAAGGGGTATCTGGGTGGCATAGTTAGTTAAGCAGCCTACTCTTGATTTCAGCTCAGGTCATGATCTCAGGGTCGTGGGACCAAGCCCCAGATTAGGCTCTGCACTCACAGGGAGACTGAGTCTCTCTGCCCCTGCCCCTTCTCTTGCTTTTTCTCTCTCTGCTTCTCAACTAAATAAATAAATCTTATTAAAAAAAAAAAAAAAAAAAGAATAGTTAAACCTGCTTGCATATTTTATTTTTAATGTTAAAATAAGAGAATGGTGTGTGATGATAACAGACCACAGTTGTTCAATCCAAGAAATGCTAGTGTAATGTCTTATTGAATCTGTCCAAATACATACTTTTCTGCTATTGCACTTCTACTCAAAATGTGAAAAGAAAAAAAAAGTAATGCATCACCTGAATGTTTTTAGACTCATTCTTTTAGCTTCTATTAAAATATGTCTACTTTTGTCCTCTCATAGGTTAGAGCACAGCATAAATTCCATTTGAACAAGTGGTCTTGTGACAAAAAGAATAAAGTGTTTGAAAGCCATTAACTGTTTACTTGCTTATGTACAAATGAAGGACAAAATAATCTCCTTAGAATGTGTTATTTGTGTACCTTTGTCACAGGGAAGCTCAAAGAGCAGTAACCTATATTTGTACCATTTGGACTATGCCATTTGGTATTTAGATATACTTCCCCTTATAAATTTGTCAACCTTCCTCTTACTCTATCCCACCACTAAATGATATGGGTATTTATACACATATTAGTGTGTATATATTAGATTACATACATTCTAAGATAGACCTTATGAAATTAACAAGATTTCCTCATTTTTGTGCTATAGACAGCAACTTTCATATTGTTTAATTAGCATGTATTAACATATGTATAAATTTCGTGGCTGAAGATCTTACCTCACACATTATTTGGTTGGGATAATTGTACTGGTTGCAACAGGTCTTATGCATAAGATGCAATGCATTTGATATTTTATATCTTTACAAAAGTTACTCATTTGCAACGGAATTATTTTAGACATGACAGAACAAGTTTATAGAGTCAACAGGAAGGGAGCACAAATCCCAGGGGAAAGTGAATGCTAATATAAACTACTATATTGTGAGTAATGATATGCCATATTCTGTATGGGATTACAGAAAAACAAATGGAGCTTTCCAACAAAATTTGCCATGAGCTATAAACTAGTTTCATAGGAAATAATTCCAAATCCTCCAAGGTGGTATCTTACATTGAATTTATGAGGAAGTCTGTTGAGCTCATCTCATTGTCTGTAAAAACAGACAAGCAAGTCTAGAAATGTCTGGAGTGTTTGATTCATCAACTATCGTGCAAATGCTTCCTGAATGATCTTGGGTCAGCGTGGTGAGTTTAAATTTTGATCCCATGTCCACTGCTTATGATAATTGAGCAAGCTAAGTGCATTTGCAAGGCACTATAGCTTGTTCTAAAATTAAGTTTCAGAACAATTAGTTGTATCCTTATGATACTTTACTTTAGGTCGTGAACTACCTGAATGGCTCAGTGAGTTAAATATGTAACTCTTTTTTTTTTTTAAGATTTTATTTATTTATTTGACAGTCAGAAATCACAAGTAGGCAGAGAGGCAGGCAGAGAGAGAGGAGGAAGCAGGCTCCCCGCTGAGCAGAGAGCCCGATGCGGGGCTCGATCCCAGTACCCTGGGATCATGACCTGAGCTAAAGGCAGAGGCTTAACCCACTGAGCCACCCAGGTGCCCCTAAACATGTAACTCTTGATTTCAGCTCAGGTCATGATCTCAGCATCAGGCTCCATGCTAGGCATTTTCTCCCTCTCCTTCGGCCTTCCCCCCCCTCACTTTCACTCTCTTTCTCTCTAAAACAAAACAAAACTGAACAAATTGTGAACACTTGGTATGTCATTTATACCAAAATACTTCAATATTTTAGAAAATAAAAACAGCTATGATATTGATATATCAACTATGATGAAGTAGTATTAATAAAGTAATAGTAAATAGTAGTAAATATTTATTTTATTTATTTGGAAGCTAGTATGTACAAAACCTGGCCATTTGTAGAAAAGAGAAATATGGCACACATAGACAGGTTTTGCTTTCCAGATATTAGGGTGCACTACAGGATGTGTGCCTATAAATGGAGAAAGCTAAGAGGCTCTAGAAATGAGAGATGACACTAACTATGGGATAAGTCCTGATTTAGCTAGATTCAGGCTTTTTGGTAGGAGCCATATTTAAATAACTCAAAGACACTGCAGTAGATGGAAAATAGGCCACAGTCTTTCTTCCTCATATCCACTCTATTTTCAATGAGACATTACACCATCTCTCATCGAGAGATATAATCATTAGGATGGCCTTGGGCTTTGCTTTGGCTAGTAGAATGCTGCAGAAGTGACAATGTGCCAACATTGAACCTTAGACTCAAAAGATTTTGCACTTGCATTCTTTGTCTTGGGACTCTGCCTCTAGCATGAACTAGCATGTCTAAGGATGAGTCGTGTGGATCAGGGCCCCGTGAGCACAGTTGCCCCAACTGAAGCAGAGGTGTGAGAGAATTCAGTGACAAAGACCAAGAAACTCAGACCTGTAAAAGCCCTGCTGAGATCAGAACTACCCAGCTGGGCCCAGCCTACCCACAGAATCATGGTCTAAATGAAAACTGTTTGCTGATGATTTGTTTCTCGGAAGTAGGTAATGGATGCAGCCATAAATGTTAAAGGATGGCCTGTTGGCTGATACCAGTTGATTGTTAACATAAAGTGAATTCCTCCTCAATTACTGAGATTTGAAAAATTGTCCCTGGGTTTTCCTGACGCATACTCATATTACCAATTTCACTCTACAGAACCCAAGTATATTTTAAATGTCATAACCTAAATAACATAGTATCAAGCTGTTGTGCCCGAGGTTTCGCGTCTGAGAGACCAAGGAGCCAAGCACTGATGCAATCACATGAGGGTTTATTTGACAAGCTTAAGCTTGGGCCCAAGTACACCCGACACAGCGGAGTAGGGACTTGGACCCCGAGCCAGATTACAGTCAGAGTTTTTAAAGGCAGAGCAGGGGTGGACTCGGCGGTGGGTGAGGACAAAGGGGGTTATGGATGATGTAAGTATCTAAGGAATTCAGGAAGCGAGGTCTCCAGGACCTTGAGGGGCTAACTGTTGTCTGAGGAAAAGGTTATTCATAACCAATAATAAAAATCTTCTTGTGAGACCCTTTAGATGTATATCAGTGGGTCATATACTTGGGAATGATTCTTGACACCATCTTGGAGGTTTAGAGATAAAGTTTCCTAAAGGAATTGTTAAAGTGGACTTAAAGGATTCTGGTCGGACCTGTTGGGGTCGGGGGGTCAGTCAGGCTAAGATTGTCCTTAGCAAAATCTCAAGGTGAGGGCAGTTAAGTCCCCAGGGGAGAGCCACTCTTTCTGTTTCAAGGGCTTGTCAATAGGTGAGGAATTTTAATGATTTTCTTCTCCCTCTGTTTCCCATATCAGCTAAACTTGAGGTGGGATGGCCTTAA